TCCCGCCCTCTCATAACCTCACTAACAACCTCACCAACAGCCTATTGTCACTTAACAACCAAATGCTGGACCAATTTAAGCCACAATATCCCATTGAATGACTATTATCTCTATAATGGCATTAGGCATAGAATGACTATATGATTATCTCTATAATTAAATTCTGCAGTTAATAGGTTTCCTGTTCCGCTGGTCGTCAATGGGTACATAATCCATTAGAATTTAAGGTTACATAAAGAAAATAATTTAAATGGCGTTTTGTCTTGTACGTGGGAGGAAAACTGGTCACCGCCAGCGCCAGGACGCTGCGGCGGTGGTGTTAGGAACTACGAATCAAATGGGGGGGATATAAGACCTTGAAGGACTCCACACACACACACACACACACACACACACACACACACACACACACACACACACACACACACACACACACACACACACAAACTGGTTTGCTTTGGTAGGCCTATCAGCCTCTGGAGAGTTATCTATGGCCGATATCAACCTCTTAGTGGGTTATTAACGCCACCACAATACCTATACTGACCAACCAGCATCAAATAACATCTAGGCCGGGATAAATACATTAGTTTCAAATGTATTTTCATGGATAAATGTGACACGCAACACCACCTCGGTGTATAACCAGTTAGGCTATTAAGCAACCTGTTTTATCCTTCAGAACTGGCTCCTCGATCCAATTTACGAGTGCAGGAGCACAAGTTGCACAAAATGGCACGGTATTTAGAATTTAAAGCCTCGCGCGAGGCTTTAAAGTCCTTGAAAAGGCTGAGAAATTCTGAAAAAGAAGAAAAAGGGTTTGGAAACACAAACCGAAACTGTCTCTATTTTCCGCTTGTTACAACTTGTAATAAAGTTGTTACATCTTGGCTTAACGTGTTTATGACGTATTAGAACGTTGTTACAACTTGCTATATTGGTTGTTATAACTGGTTAGGAGGTGTTAAAACTTGTTCCAACGTTGTACCAACGTCGTAGTTTCTGTGTACTTACCTATTTGTACTCACCTATTTGTGCTTGCGGGGGTTGAGCTTTGGCTCTTTGGTCCCGCCTCTCAACTGTCAATCAACTGGTGTACAGGTTCCTGAGCCTATTGGGCTCTATCATATCTACACTTGAAACTGTGTATGGAGTCAGCCTCCGCCACAACACTGCCTAATGCATTCCATCCGTTAACTGCTCTGACACTGAAAAAGTTCTACTTTACAGTCGTCGTTTGGGGGTCCGTTTAGTCCAGCCATTAATGTAATGGTTAGTGTAAGTTTGGAATGAACATTCTGATTCTCTAAGTTGCTTTTATATCCTTTTATATGTGTTTTGCCCGAAGCCACCCGGAGCAACTGAACCTAGCGTAGTCTAGCCTAAAGTTATAAAACATTTTTAACATTTTGATGAGTTTTGACAATTAGAAAACGAGCTTTGTTGAAATGATTTTTGATTATATGGCTCTCTTATAATGCATTGTGTCCGGGGACAGGCAGCCAGTGTACATGTACATGTTAGACCTATATTGAGGTCACCCCCATAGGGTGAACTACTGACCCTCCCCCCCCCCCCATAACTAGTAGACTAAAACTCCAGGAGCCAGATTCACGAAGCAGTTACGCAAGCACTTACGAACGTGTACATCTTTCCTCAATCTTTGACGGCTTTGGTTACATTTATTAAACAGTTTACAAGCATGAAAACTTGCCAATCAACTGTTGTTATTGTTATAAACAGCCTCCTGGTGCTTCCGAGCTCATTAACTGTTTAATAATTGTAAACAAAGCCGCCAAAGATTGAGAAAAGATGCACAGGTTCGTAAGTGCTTGCGTAACTGCTTCGTGAATCTAGCCCCTGGGTACCTATTTACTGCTAGGGTGAACAGGGGCAGGTGGTGATAAATGAAACGTGCCCAACCAGTTCTGTCCTGCTCGGGTTATATTCTACACAAGGAATAATATATCTTAGGACATAATAATAATAATTTATTTATACAAAGTCCATACACTGTAGGCTGGGCACAATAGGGGGCCTGACGGCTGAGTGGACAGCACTCGGGATTCGTAGTCTTAAGGGTCCATAAGGTGAACCCGGTGTGTCCGGGTTCGAGCCTTGGCGGAAACAAATGGGCAGAGTTTCTTTCACCTTGATGCCCCCCTGTTCACCTAGCAGTAAAATAGGTACCTGGGAGTTAGTCAGCTGTCACGGGCTGCTTCCTGGGGGTGGAGGCCTGGTCGAGGACCGGGCCGCGGGGACACTAAAGCCCCGAAATCATCTCAAGATAACCTCAAGAATCAAGATCAAGACTAGTTTGTTTGTTTAACCACCCACCGCCTTGGACTGACCTGAGGGGCTTGTGGCACGCAGAAGCTGGCTCCGTTGTGAGGGATTCGAACTCTGTTGTTATAGATTCAGCTACTTGGAACAAGTTCCAAGTAGCACGGGCTATGGTGAGCCCGTAGTGGACTTACCCGGCACAGGAGCGGTGCCGTGATTCGAACTCTGATGATGCGTTCATATTGCTGGAGAGAGAGAGAGAAGACATGAAACTCCCCCTCAAGCCTCACCACCTTCCTGCCCTTGCCCCCCATTGTTGTTGGTGGGACCTCATGCGGCCGCGTTGCTAGGCTGCTGCTCCTGCATATTGCTCAGTTTACCACCCGTCATCCAGCATGCACTGTGGTCCTCATCAACAATATTGTTGTTGTTTTTTCAGATGATTTGGGTTATATAGGATGGTTAATGGCGGTATTTTGGGTGATGTTGGGAGTTCTGCCCACGCTTGGCCACCTGCTGGGGAGTACTATGCAGTACTATGTTAGTAGTAGTAGTAGGTGTTATCTTGAGGTTATCTTGAGATGATTTCGGGGCTTTAGTGTCCCCGCGGCCCGGTCCTCGACCAGGCCTCCACCCCCAGGAAGCAGCCCGTGACAGCTGACTAACACCCAGGTATCTATTTTACTGCTAGGTAACAGGGGAATAGGGTGAAAGAAACTCTGCCCATTGTTTCTCGCCGGCGCCTGGGATCGAACCCAGGACCACAGGATCACAAGTCCAGCGTGGTGTCTGTTCGGCCGACCGGCTTCCACCAGTTTCAGGCACGGGAGACATCTTCCGTCACGCAGGGTGCAGTCGCACCTCCACAGATCTCCAGTATCAGCTCTTGATACTGGTAATGGCTCAAAAGGGCCACCACTTACGGGCTATTCATGCCCGTGCCACCTTTTGGCTGGCTTAATCTTCATCCATCAGTCTCAGGAGACTATGGAGTTGCGCTCTGGTTGTCGGTCTGGAGTGGCCTCTCCAGGGCGCAAAGTCAGGTTGATACGTGGGAGAAGCTGTTACCCAAGCAGCAGGTCCCCCCCTCTCTCCATGGCGCCTAAAGTCTCCAATGGAAAGGCAAACGCCAATACGATTGGTTCCAGCGCCGTCGCTGGAACCATCTAGGGAAAATCAGTTGACATTATGGAGCAGCAGCATTGAGCAACAACTACTCTACAACAGCAGATTGACATTGTGTCGTATCTGTGAATATCTCTTGCTTCTGTAGAGCTTAAAGGCTCTTGGAGTCTTTAATTAATATAAACATTACTTACTGAACCAGTACTACAGTTATCTAGCTTGTAAAAATGTAACATAAAATTGTATTCCTTCTGTTTAGGCTGTGAAATTTATTATCTCTTGTACTGTTGTAATTTCTGGTGTTTGTCGCTATGTAATAATTGTCATTTTTTTTATTCCCATTTCTCATACTTCAGTTATGCTTTTGATCTCAATTTGTTTTAAATTATTTAGATTTGAATTTTTTTCCGCGTTATGCGGAAAATGGCGCGCGTATTATAGTGGGTTTAAGCATCGTGTTTGGCTTAGTTATTCACCATACATGGATATTGTGTCCTATCATCCTATGGATGAATGGATGAGTGAATGGATGTATGTAGTCGCCTAGTAGTGCTTGCGGGGGTGACAAAGAGCTCTGTGGCCAGATTCACAAAAGCAGTTACGCAAGCACTTACGAACCTGTACATCTTTTCTCGATCTTTGCCGGCTTTGTTTACAATTATTAAACAGTTAATGAGCTCGGAAGCACCAGGAGGCTGTTTATAACAATAACAACAGTTGATTGGCAAGTTTTCCTGCTTGTAAACTGTTTAATAAATGTAACCAAAGCCGTCAAAGATTGAGGAAAGATGTACACGTTCGTAAGTGCTTGCGTAAGTGCTTTCGTGAATCTGGCCAGTGCTTCCCCTGGGTGCTGAATATCCTCTTCATCGAGGCAAAGGGTCCCCATAGCCACTTATATTATGACTAATACTGTATTATTTATCAATACTGCCTGGTAGAAATATTTGTGACAGTGGAAAAAAAAACTGAGTGTTGGATAATTCTACTTGCATGCCGTATTGAAATATTGCAAAGGATTTTTGTTATCATTTTCTTTAGCAATCTACTGTTTATAATTAATAATTTTTTTGAATGCGGTCAAATAGTTGAGGATTAGGATCAATTTTCTACTCGTTTGACTATATATATATATTTAAAACTTGCCCCGAAACGTTATGCGTGTTAGGGGTTGTTCAAGAATGTAAGAACTCTTGTATATATATAAATAAATACAAAAAATCAATAAAACAAAGTTATTAGGCCAAAATAGTAGAATCTCGATCCTGTAAGTACATATAGGTGAGTACATGAAACGCTCGCTTATGATCCAACTCAGAATTTCAATTTTCTTTTATTAGTTTCATTGGGGAAACTAAAATATTTTTGGTTTTGGTTTATATAGCAAGACTGAACCGGTTTGGGAGAGTCGCTCTTGAGTTTTATGGCATATTTGTAGGTGTGGAAGACTCTGTGACGTCCTTACGAGTGAAAGATCTATTGAGAGGAAACGTTGCGCCATCTCCAAGACGGTCCAGAGAGCGTTGCGCCATCTTCAAGACGGTTCAGAGAGCGTTGCGCCATCTCCAAGACGCTGCCCTTGAGTGACGGTGCTCCTGAGTGCTAGGACTCACCGTGACGGTGCTCCTGAGTGCTAGGACTCACCGTGACGGTGCTCCTGAGTGCTGAGACTCACCGTGACGGTACTCCTGAGTGCTGAGACTCACCGTGACGGTGCTCCTGAGTGCTGAGACTCACCGTGACGTTCCTGAGTGCTGAGACTCACCGTGACGGTGCTCCTGAGTGCTGAGACTCACCGTAACTCCTCCAGCGGGCCGTGGCTTGAGGCCGAGATAAGCATTGGTGCGATAAGGCTTGTCAGTGGCCTGCGGTTAAAGGTGAGACAACACGTAGGTGGGTGTTACGGTGCTCTGGTGAGTTGCCATAGGTGGGTGTAGGTGTAGTATGGTGTACAGGTGAGGTGACATAGGTGGTGGGCACACCAGGAGCCCACCAAGACCCGCCGGCACCTCTCGACCAAGCCGGCGCCGGACATTGGTACCCCGGCCCGACGAACCAGCCCAAAAAACATTGAAAATCTATGGACGTTCCTGTGACCCCGAATGATATGTGTTCCAGGGCATCGTAACAATCTGGAACGTTGAATAAGTGTGCCAGACACAACAGTATCATAACCCCAGTGGGTAAAATGGCAGAATGTGTACCAGTCTCCGTGGTGTAGTGGTAAGACACTCGCCTGGCGTTCCGCGAGCGCTATGTCATGGGTTCGTATCCTGGCCGGGGAGGATTTACTGGGCGCAAATCCTTAACTGTAGCCTCTGTTTAACGCAACAGTAAAATGTGTACTTGGTTGTAACAACGATTCTTAGCGGTGGGGATCGTATTCCAGGGACCTGCCCGAAACGCTACGCGTACTAGTGGCCCTACAAGAATGTAACAACTCTTGTATATATGTCAAAAAAAAAAATGTAATGTAATCCGACGGCACCCAGGGGAGAGCCGATCTCCAGACATCCACTCTCCATCAAGGTTGAACCAGGACTGTCATACATAACATTACTAGATGTACAGGTTCCTGAGCCTATTGGGCTCCATTAAATGTAGATTTGATAGAGCCCAATAGGCTCAGGAACCTGTACACCAGTTGATTGACAGTTGAGAGGTGGGACCAAAGAGCCAGAGCTCAACCCCCACAAGCACAACTAGGTGAGTACATAAGTGTTGGTGGTGTACTGGTGGGTGTTGGTGGGACAGAAAGCCTTTATTTAGACCTATCGAGGTCTCACCTAGGCCAACGATTGCCCCCCCCCTAGGATCCAACCCAACAATAATTGCCTAACTCCTGGGTACCTATTTACTACTAGGTTAACACAGTGACAAAATTCAGTATTATTATTATTATTATTATTATTATTATTATTATTATTATTATTATTATAATTAGGGACACTTTTGACTCCATGACTAATGCTATAATAATACCATAACTAATGCCATAATAATACCATGACTAATCCCATAATAAAATACCATATATTTTCCTAGCCTTACTCAATGATCTGGTATAACACTCAGCTGATCAATATATAACTGAATGACAGATGTATTGTACTGCTGTAACCAGCTCATCAAGACTGTAACTTGCTTAGCTAAATGAATTGTGGGGGTTCAGTCCCTGAGCCCATTATGTGCCTCTGTAACCCTTTTCACTGCTGCCCACAGGATGGGTATGGGGTGCATAATAAATGAACTAAACTGTTCTTGGGAAGACGCTTTTTTTTTTTTTACATAAAGCATAGGCAGCTGAAGTTCAATGTACTCACCTAGTTGTGCTTGCAGGGGTTGAGCTCTGGCTCTTTGGTCCCGTGGACCAAAGGTAATGCACAATTATCTAATTGTGTATAATTTCTTTGCAGCTTGAATGAGAAGTGTGAGAGGCAGCAGCAGGATGAGAGCAGTTCTCGTGCACCAGTTCGGAGGGGTGGAGCAGATGAAGGTCGAGGACGGTGTAGCTATACCCTCTGTTGGTGACAAACAGGTACTTTTTTTTTTTTTTTTTTTTTTTTTTTTTTTTCAAAACAACGCTGTATTAATGTAATTTTCTGTAATAATTTGTAATTGTATTTGTGCTGCTTTTTCAACCATGTTCCCCCCTCTTTTACCTCTATTTTTATTTGTTCTCAACACATTTTATTCTTTTTACCCATTAGTTTTAAGCTTTAGTCATTAATGTTTTTCCTGCCCGAAACGCTTAGCGTAATAGTGGCTTTAGGCATTGTATGTACTAGCTCTATCTATTAACCCAACAAACTTTGTAAAATCTCTTTATGTATGTACCTGACCTAAATAAACATTTATTTATTTATTTATTTTATTAATCTTACATTTAATATTCATTACTAGCTGTAGTCCCAACCTGCAAATCTAAAAAATAAACAAAGTGATGACATTTTGGTCCATCCTGGACCGTTATTAAGTATGATAATGTTTTTGATAATGGTCCACGATAGACCAAAACATTGCCACTTCTTATATATTTAGTTTTGTGGGTTTGGTGTCTATATTTCAGCCACATTATTGTGATGTACAGCGTTGTCAACATAACTAGCTGTATTATTTTGGTATTGGAACACTAGTTTTTATACAGTTCTTTGCAAACTGCTTTACCATGGGACATATTCTATACATGTTGACCAGACCACACACTAGAAGGTGAAGGGACGACGACGTTTCGGTCCGTCCTGGACCATTCTCAAGTCGATTGTGAAACTTGAGAATGCCATTCTTACAATCGACTTGAAAATGGTCCAGGACGGACCGAAACGTCGTCGTCCCTTCACCTTCTAGTGTGTGGTCTGGTCAACATACTTTAGCCACGTTATTGTGACTCATCACCTGCATATTCTATACATTTAGAATTTATGTATTGATATACTGTATGATGATGCACTCCTTATCCTTCTTCGCTTCCAGACATTCTGCTCTCAGCATTTTCTATATTTATATTGCAACCCAGCCTCTTAAAATGATAGTACTGTACTTCAGTCATGTCACTCCATATACCTGAGTTTTCCTGAGAGCCACTAACACTAGTGGCCTCCACGAGGACAGGAAGCCAGTGGCATGTTGAAGGTCCCCCCATATAAAATCATGTGACCCCAAGTGTTTGTAACTTTTCAGGTATTAATCAAAGTACATGTCTCAGGAATAAACCCAGTAGACACATACATTCGTGAAGGTGCATTCTTCATTCTGCCCGACCTACCGTTTGTCCCAGGATTAGACGCCGCTGGTATTGTTGAGGCAGTAGGGAAAGGTGTTACTCACTTCAAGGTAAAAATATTTTTATGACGATCTGGGAGGCATAACAAGAGCAGGTTTAAGGCTGCCAGTGACGGAAGGTTTAATTCAATAACTTGTTAATTTGAGCATAAGTTAATATTGGGCATCCAACCCACACATCTGGAAATAAATTTGGGTTGGTCCGACTACTGTGTATATTTTCAGATTTGTGGGTTGGATGTCTAATTTTTGGCCACATCTTTGTGTCTTATTGTTTGCATAAGTTAATCTTTCTTCTTACTGGCTTTAGTGCAACAGTTTAGGCTAACCAAACTTTCTTTAAAATTATTATGCTTTTTTTTCAAATCTTAGTTACTTGAAATAGTTTAATGTTAGTAAATACAATAATAAATTGTGTGTAGGACAGTTAAACTGCTTGTGATTAGTGCTCCTCAGGCACACACACACACTACTTACTGGAACATGGTGAGAAGCCATTCGATGGGATCAAACCCATGGCCCTGAAGTCCTCAGGAAAATACACTACCATGGACAGGTGGTTTAATCCCCCTATTGTATGACTTTAATATTTGTTCATCAAGATACCATTTTCTTGGAATTTCTTCATGTTTTATGAATATTTCATTTAGGTGTTGCACTAAATCCAGTTACAGTAGTAGTTTGCTTTTAATAATGCTTATGTTGTGTACTCTATATCACGAGCTTAAGCCTGGCACCAGAACCTGTTCTTGAAGATGACTCTCGTACATTGTGGAGGGTCTATCAAGTTTGCCCTATATTAACAGGTACTGTTAAAAGTGCATGTAAGTGGTGTGAACCCAGTTGACACTTACATTCGTAGCGGGCAGTACGCGACACTTCCTGGCCTCCCTTATGTCCCAGGAAGGGACGCAGCAGGAGTGATCCACAGTACCGGTTCTCTGGTCACAAAATTCAAGGTGCGTGTTTGGGCTGGAATATTTTTTTCCTGTATTCTCGACACTTTGTTATTGCCAGGATGTGATGGGTGGCCACATTCATGGTGTTTCCCTGAATTTTCCAGGGATGCTAAACGTGTTAATGGGCTTTTGCAAGAATGTGTCGTTTAATCGTTAAAGTCTATACTTTCAGAACCCATTGTACCTTCTCTATATTCTTTACATACAGTATATATATGTGTGTATATCACGAAAATAAACACGTGATTAAAAATGTGACAATGTCAGACCACGGAGGAAAAATGAAACAGGAATTTCCTTAAGTACTTTCGTATATTAATACATCTTCAGAATGTATTAATAGAGAATGACTCCTTCTGAAGATGTATTAATATACGAAAGTACTTAAGGAAATTCCTGTTTCATTTTTCCTCCGTGGTCTGACATTGTCACAGTACAGTATATATATATTAATTAATCAGTTATATAATGCATGTACTAGTAGACATACAACTGTAATGTAATAGTTACATTACAGTATATGAATCAGTATATGATTCTATAAATTTATAGTATAGTACAGTATATGAATCAATAAATTTAGCATTCTGGTCATCATTGTAGTGCCTTGTAATAAAATACATTATAGCTTATTGTCAGCTGAGGGAATTCTTGAATTTGAGACTGCATATTGTTATGTTTGTGTGGGCATAAGATTATCATCTAACCGTCTCGTATGAAATCTTACTTTTCTGTTTGAGACTTGTGATTGATTGGAATCATTCTTCCGAGAATCCTTTCACGTGACTTCATTCGTAATTGTTATGTGGCCGAGTATGATGTAATCGTCTAGATAGTGAACAAATCCACATCCAGGGCAAAGGTTCGAACCCTCATCACGGCCCTTGTGGATTTGTTCATTCGATACATCACGTTATTGTGATTTCTGTATGCATCTAGATAGTCATTCTTATGATATGGCAAATTTTGCAGGTAACAATTTTTGTTCCTGGGTAGAAAGTGCTAGTTTCTGATTGCTAATGTTACAAAGTATAGAAAAATGTCTATTATTCCAATCTAACTTAACGGGGTGAGAATAGCTTGAGCTACCTCATCCCTTTGTGTATATTTTACCTCGATAAACTTATTTCAATTTCAATTTCAATTCAACTTTTATTTTGACCTATACCTAAGACAGCTTAGGATAGACATCTTAAAGGTATTTGAAGTGTGCTGACTTCTTACCTAGAGCTGTGACACATTGTTTCATGAGTCGGCTGCCTTCAGGTGTCTTTATAATGTCTTCATCTAGCTGTCTGAGACCAAGATTCAAGCAATATTTGAAGAGAATAATAACCATTTTCTCTACTTTGGAGGGAATAAGCAATCAGAAAATAACATTTATTTCCCCAGGAAGAAAAAAAAAAGTTGCATTGTGTTGTGTGATAACCAAACCACAGACCAGAGGATGAGGAGACGACAATGTTTCAGTCCGTAATGGACCATTAACAAGTCTATTATCGCACTTTACTTGATGATGGTCCAGGACGGACTGAAACGTCGTCGTCTCGTCATCTTCTGGTGTGTGGGTTTGGTCATCATATCTTCTCCCGTGTTATTGTGACTCGTTGTCTACACTGTATTGTGTGCTCTTGCACAGTTGCAGATTTTTAATTCAAATGCTAGTTTTTAATCTGTGTATTGTTGTTCCCACAGCCAGGTGATCGGGTGTTCTCCTCGTACTCTACACAGTTTGGAACGCTGGCTGAATTCACAAGTGTAGATGAAGCACATGTTTTTCCCTTGGACGATAAGCTGACTTACAGCCAAGGTGCCGGAATAGGTGTACCGTACTTCACTGCCTACCGTGCTTTGTTCCAAAAGTAAGTGCAGTCATAATCTAATTTTCTCATCGTGAATTCCCCTAAATCTCATTCCGTATTCGTGTTCAAGTTAGGTGTTATTTGGGTTTCATCAATGTTTTATTCCTGTAAGTTTGCTACATCCTTGAGAAGTTTTATGTTCATCTACTAATGAGTACAATTGATTATTAGTTACCTTTCAAACCAACAGAGCCCATGCCAAGAAAGGAGAGCGCGTGTTGGTCCACGGGGCAAGTGGTGCCGTTGGTCTGGCTGCTGTACAGATTGGCGTGGCAAATGGTAAGTGTTAGTACAGTGGTACCTCGGAATGCGAGTGTCCCTGTATGCGAGTTTTTCGGAAGACGAGCAGGATTTACTCCAAAAATATGTCTCGGAAGGCGAGGGTTACCTCGGGACACGAGTTTGTTGATACGTGTACAGGCCGACTGGCGCGTGGTGGCATGGCGATCGCGCCTCAGTTTACCAGTGTCTCGTGTCCAGTGACTATCCCACCTGAATTCTTCACAAGGATTTACAGTTTTTTATCGTTTTTTTGGCCATTTAAGCATAAAAGTTGTCATTATATATCTTGCCATGGGTCTCAAGAAAGCCATTGGTAAGGTTCAACCTAAGAAAATAGCTGTGAGTAGAGGCAGTAGAGGATGTCTCTTCTTGATTAAGAAAATGTGTGAAGTATGGGAAGAACTGCAAAGTTTTGTTGAAAAAACTCACCCAGATAAAGCTGTAGCAGGCCGTTGCATTGACCTTTTAAATGATAATGTGATGTCTTACTACAGACAAGTGTTAAAATGTAGGGAAAAACAAGTGTCATTAGATAAATTCTTAGTAAAACAAGCAAGTCCTAGTGGTATGCAGGCAAAATGTGCCAGAGTGTGCATACCAGTGAAGTCCTCACTGCCTGATGTGATAATGGAAGGGGACTCCCCTTCCAAACAGTAACTCCTCTCTTCCTCCCACCTCCTCACCATCTTCCATACGCCTACAGCATTCAACAGCAAGGTAAGTAATAACTTGAACATAGTTTTGTAGGTTTATTTAGATGAATTAGGTATAAAAATTTAGTTTGATGTGGGGTTTTTGGGGTAGTCAGGAACGGATTAATTCATTTCCCTTTATTTCTTATGGGGAAATTAGCTTCGGAATGCGAGTTTTCGGAATACGAGGCATCTCCAGGAACCAATTAAACTCTTAAACTGAGGTATGCCTGTACTGTGTACCCAGTGCCTCTGTTCACCGAATGATGGGTAGATATATGGGAGGTTAGATGACTTGTTGGGTTACATCCCGGGGAAGGTCAGTCATTGGCTTATAGACCTCTAGAGGGATTTTGTCTCATATGGTGGCTTACCAAGCTGCGATACTTTTGTGTGACATGCTTTGGGGAATGGGGTGTTGTAGCCCCCATTTGCAGCAGGTTGTCATTCCAACACTGTTCAATAAGAAAGATTTCAAGCATTTTATCTTTCACTCTCAATAAAGAAATGCATTTCCCAGTGGTCCTTTTGTAGCTTCCTTTAACTAAGGTACTGACACCAGTAGATCACTGAAAAGTTAAGGTTTTGGGATGTCGTCTTCTGCCCACAAGGACTAGTATCATGGCTGTATGTTTTGTCTCCTGCAAACAGCCTTGGGGAGTAGAACTCTCGTAGCCCTCTCCAGGTACAATCCAGGTATATGGAGATCACAGATCAGCTCAATCCAAAGAGAAAAAACCTGCTCTGACAGAAGCACTCAAAACCCCCTCAAAATTCCAAGAAATGCTTTCTGAAACTACTGAAGCATCTACTGTTGAACTACTGTATTCCCCTTAATTTTACATCTTCCAAGTGGCAGCTCTACAAAATGGTTGGGGTAGATTTAGGGCCGGGAGCCGGTCGGCCGAGCGGACAGCACGCTGGACTTGTGATCCTGTGGTCCTGGGTTCGATCCCAGGCGCCGGCGAGAAACAATGGGCAGAGTTTCTTTCACCCTATGCCCCTGTTACCTAGCAGTAAAATAGGTACCTGGGTGTTAGTCAGCTGTCACGGGGTGCTTCCTGGGGGTGGAGGCCTGGTCGAGGACCGGACCGCGGGGACACTAAAAAGCCCCGAAAACATCTCAAGATAACCTAGATAGAACCCTGAGGTAGCCCACCTTGCTACCTTGGGGAAAGTGGAATATAAAGATAAAAAGGTCAGAAATAGAAATCTACCAATGGACCACTTGGAATGGAACATTGTATTACTGTACTCTATATTTCTGTACTGTGCTTGGCATGCGGCATACTTGTCATTACGGCACATGTTTTGTACAATCTGTTGAGTTTTCATTTCCAGATAAGAATATAGTACTTGTTCTAGTCACCAGCTGCTTACTCATATCATGGAAAAATAGCCAAGTGTGTTAATGTGGAGATTCAATGGCTCCATCTCAACAGGAATGGACTTGTATGACAAAAAAATTCAAATATTAGCTAACAAAACAATTTCAACTTTCTTAAAAGCCGTTGATATTCCTAATATAGTACAAAACACTTTAGCATTGGTTTTAAACCTTAGTCCTAGATTGTAGACTCTTTTTAATTTAATGAGACCTGTTTTAGTAAAATATTGTACGGGCTTGAGGCTTCGATATAGGTGCATGGAGATTTCACATAAAAACTATTTCATCGGCTAAGTATAAGGATCTCGAAGCAGCTGTTTTCAAGCGGTTTACATCCTAGGTTTGTTTCCCGGCTGGGACAGAAATGGCTGGGCAGATTTCCTTTCACCTAATGGCTCTGTTGACCTAGCAGTAAATACACAACACAAGCTTCCTAGAGGGCCGTAACAGAACCCAAGTAAACAACACGAGCTTCCTAGAGGGCTATAACAGAACCCAAGTACACAACACGAGCTTCCTAGAGGGCCGTAACAGAACCCAAGTAAACAACACGAGCTTCCTAGAGGGCTATAACAGAACCCAAGTACACAACACGAGCTTCCTAGAGGGCTATAACAGAACCCAAGTACACAACACAAGCTTCCTAGAGGGCCGTAACAGAACCCAAGTAAACAACACGAGCTTCCTAGAGGGCTATAACAGAACCCAAGTACACAACACGAGCTTCCTAGAGGGCTGTAACAGAACCCATGTACACAACACGAGCTTCCTAGAGGGCTGTAACAGAACCCAAGTAAACAACACGAGCTTCCTAGAGGGCTATAACAGAACCCAAGTACACAACACGAGCTTCCTAGAGGGCTGTAACAGAACCCATGTACACAACACAAGAAACAAATATCGGTTGATATTCCTAGAGTGTGACTCTAGGAATATCTTATTATTATTATTATTATTACTACTACTGTATTAATATTATTTTGATTACTGTATTATTCTCCTACAGGCCTACGTGTAGTTGGCACAGCTGGTACTCCAGAAGGGCTGGACTTGGTGAAGCAGATGGGTGCAGAGGCGGTGTTTAATCATCGGGACAAGAAGTACATCTCTGAGCTGCAAAAGGGCGAGAAATTTGACGTCATTCTTGAGATGCTGGCGAATGTCAACTTGGGCAAGGACCTCACGCTGATGAAGCCACGAGGAAGAACTATTGTGAGTGACGCTTCTGTATTGTTAGTGGAATGTATTCCGGGTCAGCGATAAATTGTGCCTTTTCTACAAATTTATCTTTTGTAATTGTTAGGTTTGATTGGGTTGGGCTACATTGGGTCGGGTTACGTTGGGTCAGGTTAGGTGTATTTAAAGAGTATCGATGATTTAGAAGGGTACATACTTTTTTCAGGACCCTTCTCAATCAGCCACTGTAATGCGTACCTATGTATAGTTTGTAAATAAACATTTTATTATTATTATGAGTATCATTATTGTTATTATCAGTATTATTATTATTATTATTATTACAGCATTATTATTATTCCTGTACAGTTCTTTCTCACAACATGTGTGTTAATTCCAACAGGTGGTTGGTTCTCGGGGAACTGTTTCCATAGACCCAAGAAACATCATGGGCATCGAAGGTTCTGTGACTGGCATGGCTCTCCAGACTGCTACACCTGTAAGTTATTTTGTATTTGTGTATAATCTCTAGCTTGGAAAGATTAAAAATTGCAATGTGAAGGCACCTAGAAGGAAATATGTCTGATGTTGAGGTCATTCGCAAAAGACATATCTTGCTACTGTGTTGGTAGAAATTTTGTGTCCTGTTGCCCAGTGGTCTATGTCGTCGGCTCACAACCGAGGGTACCTGGTTCAATACCCTCCCGTTTAGATAGTACCTATTGTGACGACATTGAGACTGAGTGATGCCTACATTGTGACGATCATCAATGGTCAGAATTCGTACGTTCTTAGCTTTTAGATAGATGTGTTCATCTTTCCTCAATCTTTGATGGGTTTGCTTACATTTATTAAACAGTTTACAAGCATAAAAACTTGCCAATCAACTGTTGTTATTGTTATAAACAGATTCCTGGTGCTTTGAAGCTCATTAACTGTTTAATAATTGTAAACAAATTCACCAAAGATTGAGAAAAGATGTACAGGTTCATAAGTGCTGGCGTAACTGCTTCATGAATCTGGCCCCTTTTTACTGTTAAGTAAAAACGACATCAGTGGCCATATGTGAAAGGAAACATGCCCAACCATTCCCTCCTGCCAGGTATCGAACCCAGGATCCCCGATTGTGAGTCAAGAACACAGTCTACTGAACTGTTCCCCCAGATCCTATTTCCAGTGAAGGTGGAAGTTGGCACTTACACACCTGTAAAGAATTAGAATGTATTTAGGTAGTACACCTGACCAGACCACACACTAGAAATTGACCATTCTCAATCGACTTGAGAATGGTCCAGGACGGACCGAAACGTCGTCGTCCCTTCAATTTCTAGTGTGTGGTCTGGTCAACATACTTCAGCCACGTTATTGTGACTCATCGCCTGCATAGTACACCTGACTGAATACTGTATTGTTACTGCATTTATTCAGCTAATTGTAGAATATAGAAAAGGCATTTAACTTTCTATATTAGAATTTGTCTATTGAGGAAGGTTTGACTTTTTATCCCTGCGTATTTTCTATGTTTTTGAGGTAATTACACAAGTGTAATTACCTCAAAAGTAAGTTTTGTCCGGTCGTGTTGGTCGAGTGGTTAAGGGATCCTGTACATCAGATGCATTGCTTCTGGCAGTATGGGTTCGAGTCACTTCTGGGGTGTGAGTTTTCAGTTACACAAGTGCAATTATGTGTGCATGTGCATGTGTGCATGCACATGTGTGCATGCGCATGTGTGCATGCGCATGTGTGCATGCACATGTGTGCATGCGCATGTGTGCATGCGCATGTGTGCAAGCATTTACATCATTTTGTTTTTTTGCTTAGATGCTAATAATAATGACGACTATGAGTACGATTTTAAGTAAAATTACATGTATCTGCTCAATAATTGTTCATTGATAATCAAGATAATAATTATTAAAGCTTTATTACTTACATCAGTATCATTGGTACTTACCGATATAGTGTACATTCCAGCTTACGGTCTTGATACTCGTTTTCCGAACATTCTGCTAATTTTCTGTTATTTATTTTGTAAACCATATAGGAAGAGTGGAAAGAGTTGTCAGAAGGCGTGATTGAGGGCATCAACGCTGGCTGGGTGACGCCTGTGGTTGACAGAGAGTATACTTTAGAGGAGGTAAGTTGTTCTTTGGAGTATTCTTTAGAGGAGGTAAGTTAAATTGTTCTTTGGAGTGTTCTTTAGAGGAGGTAAGTTAAGTTGTTCTTTGGAGTATTCTTTAGAGGAGGTAAGTTGTTCTTTGGAGTATTCTTTAGAGGAGGTAAGTTGTTCTTTGGAGAATTCTTTAGAGGAGGTAAGTTGTTCTTTGGAGTGTTCTTTAGAGGTAAGCTGTTCTCTGGAGTGTTCTTTAGAAGAGATCAGCTGTTCTCTGGAGTGTTCTTTAGAGGAGGTAAGCTGTTCTCAGTTTGTTTACTGGGAGTGAACAGCTCACTGTCTTTACATTCGCATTCACTCTAATGTATTGTTCCCTGTTAAACTTGAAGCTGATGTGTTCGCATATCTTATCATGAGGGTATGGTCAAATCGTACAGAGGCATTTCAAGAGTTTGGTTTATAGTAGTTCAGTATTGTATTGTAAGGTTAGACTGGACTGTTACATTAGATTAGGATGGGGTTCCACTTGCCTTTCAACCCCATCAGATCATCCTTCCAGAGGTTTTCTTCCTCTCGGAATATATTTGGTGGCTCTGATGGATCTCGAGTACCAACTGTGAGACCCAGAGTTTGCCTCTATGATGGACCTTGCTCCTTGAGGGTTTCTTCGCCTTATTGGCTGTGTTATGATGTTCCAAAGTCTTCCTGGCTAGCGAAGAAACCTCCTTATTACTTTGAGGTATGGTGTGGCTTCTGTCGTCGTCGCACACTCGTGTGGTGTGAGGTGTTGACCGTGTGTCCCTGGTATGGTGTGTGTGTGTGTGGTGTTGACCGTGTGTCCCTGGTATGGTGTGTGTGTGTGTGGTGTTGACCGTGTGTCCCTGGTATGGTGTGTGTGTGTGTGGTGTTGACCGTGTGTCCCTGGTATGGTGTGTGTGTGTGTGGTGTTGACCGTGTGTCCCTGGTATGGTGTGTGTGTGGTGTTAAGATGCTGGTACAGTCTCAAATTCTGCTCCAATGATTTTCTCATAGATATAAGTATATGTCATTTGTAGTTTCCTCATGGGATTTGAATGGAGCATATGGTGGAGAACTCCATTACTCCATGGAGCATATGGTGGAGAACTCCATTACTCCATGGAGCATATGGTGGAGAACTCCATTACCCACACACCAGAGTGCATGCGGGCAATTTATAAAACCTGGTTGGGTGCTGACTAAGTGCCTCTAGACTTCCTAGTGGACTCACTAGAGGTCCCAGGTTTAATAGCCTTTAGCACGTTGTGACTTATCTGGTGTTAACCAGGATGCTGGTTTTGTTCCCTGTCCTGCTCCAGTGAGTTTCTCATCATGTACGAATGTTATATACAGAATATATTTTGTTCACAATTGAAAATATTATTAGAGCATTATTGCTTGTGTATAAATAAAGCTTTTGACACATTTTGCCTTATGACTAATATCTTTGTTGTTTATCTTGACCAGGCTGGTAAGGCTCATCATGACATCATCAACTCCAAAGGTGCCAAAGGAAATCTCGTGGTCAAGTTGCAGGACTAGCAAGATATCATTATAGCAATAACATGTTGAGACTACTGTATGTCGAAGCCATGCAAAGGGATTGAACCCACATTCTTGGACTCCCAACGCACACACGACACCAACTGGAACATGATGAGAAGCTGTACGATGGGATCGAACCCGCACTCCTGGACTCCCCGGGTACATGCACTACCAATTGAAAAATGATCCGAAGCCATACATTGGGAATCGAACCCGAATCCCTGAACTCCCCGGGCATACACACTACCATCTGAACATTAACGAGCCCATTGCGGTTCAGTCAGTAGTGCATATTTTTTTAGCTCATTGTATGGCCCCCAATATTTTCTCATAGATTCATCACGTAGTTTTGATTTCATTATGCAATATATTGTGATATGAGTTGTGCACTAGTGTGGCCATACTGCCTTTTGTTGCCTTTTCCCCGACAATAACCATGTACAGTACTTTATAAAATAAATCCTTCACAATATTTTGGAGTATTATCTCCTGCTGTGCTTCCACCACAACGCTCCTACTATTCTGAATAGAATTTAGTTTCATGACTATTATATATACGAACTGATTACTGCTAAGTTCCTCTTAGGTGGTTTAATCTTCATCAATCAAGTTCTTTGCAGAGTAGAAGAACTCTCAAAATCCTCTCCAGGTATGCTTTCTGGACATGATATAAAATGGCCAAGCACTCACAGAGAGCAGATAGTCTGCCCAGATACTTCAAATATGCAGTTATTATAGAGAATGTGAAGTCTATCTCTCTTTGTTCTATGTACTAACCTCTTTATACCAAATGCATTACAAATTAACTATTCTGATTTTCAAATTCCTTTGTTGAATCTGGCCTTAAAGATGTGAACGAGGGTTATCTTAAGGGTAACTTGTAATGATTTTGGGACTTGGCGTCTTTGCGGCCCGGACCTCGACCAGGACTTCTTTTTGTTACACACCCCCAGGAAGCAGCCCGTAGCAGCTGTCTAACTCCCAGGTACCGATTTACTGCTAGGTGAACAGGCGCATCAAGGTGATAGAAACTTTGCCCATTTGTTTCCGCCTCCACCGGGGATCGAACCCGAAACCTTAGGACTACGAATCCTGAGCGCTGTCCACTCAGCTGTCAGGCCTTCCTCAACTACTTCAAATCAAATCAAATCAAATGTTTATTTAGGTAAGGTACATACATACAAGAGATTTTACAAAGAGTGATGGATTTATAGATAGGGCTAGTACATACAATGCCTAAAGCCACTATTACGCAAAGCGTTTTATTTATTATTTATTTATTTATTTATATATATACAAGAAGGTACATTGGGTTTGTGAGAATACATTGGATAGTACAGTATTTACATTCTTGTAAAGCCACTAGTACGCGCAGCGTTGCGGGCAGGTCCTTAATCTAGCAGATAATTTTAAGTAGGTAATTTCAATCAGAATTGATAAATGATAAAGATACATTACAAGAGAAAAATGAGATGAGAGAGATAAGTAGGTATAATAAAGCACATTGTTATATTAAAGCTCTGATTGATTACATTGACAGCTTGATTAGTAATTTAAACAAGGTTAATAGACACCATACAGCAGATTGACAGCCCATATAAGACAGCAATGATCACAATGGTAAAGATGTTCAGATTGGGTACATAAAGATTGGGAGACTGGGTAGCGAAAGATACAGATAAACAAGATTTATAAACACCATACAACGGATTGGCAGCACATATAAGAAAACAGCAAAACAGCAACAGCGTTTCGGGCACTTCTTTCAGGGCCTTGCACTTGTTGACCAGCCGTATAAGACACGATTATTTCCATACGTTTCTTGAGCTCGTTTGTTCCTCCAGCTTCCATCTGTGACCTCTAACCCCAACTTTCTCTCAGTTTAAAGTGGCTGTCATTTTCTATCTTGTCTATTCCTTTCAGTGTCTTGTATGTTGTGCCTCTTGTTCTCTGCTTTGCTGCTGTATATTGATAGAAAACGGGATAGGGTATCTGGCTGTGCCTGGGTCTCTATCTTCCCCTCCCCTCTTCCCCCCCCCCCACCACCCTCTTACCTCATCCCCCTTTTCTTTTCTGCCCTTTCTTACACCCTCTTCATCTTTCTTCCACCCCCTCTCCTACCCTCTTCTTCCCCCCTCTCTCTCTCTGCCTTTCTTTCCCTTCCTTTCCACTAACATCAGGGCCCCATACCCATCCTGTGGGTGGTAGTGGGCCCCATACCCATCCTGTGGGTGGTAGTGGGCCCCATACCCATCCTGTGGGTGGTAGTGGGCCCCATACCCATCCTGTGAGTGGTAGTGGACCCCATACCCATCCTGTGAGTGGTAGTGGACCCCATACCCATCCTGTGAGTGGTAGTGGACCCCATACCCATCCTGTGAGTGGTAGTGGACCCTAAAATTGGTGTAGGTTAGGTTAGGTTAGCTAAGTTATAGCCAAGATGAGCTAGTTAGTCCCAGGTCCCAGCTGTCAGACCCCTGGGAATTAATTTGTGCATTGGTGTATATTATGAGTGTCTTGCCTCTTAACTAGTAACATCAAATCAATACCATTTTCAGTATATAAATTTCACAGGATCTGTTTACAGCCGTAACATGCGCAGAAAATCCATCAAATCAAATATATTTGCGCATGTGTTAGCAGTTATGGCAGCCATACATGACTTGGTTTGAGCTAGGTGTCTGGGCTGGACGGGTCCAGCAGGTGTGTGGCCCGGACGGGTCCAGCAGGTACGTGTGTGTTACTTTTATGAAGTTGGTCGATCTTCCTTATGGACAACCCAACCCAAAACCCGGAGAGTGCTTATTTTGACCAGGAGATCACCCTGGGTTCTCCTGGCACTTGGAGAGGGGCTCAATGTCACACGATTAAGAGGATGCGGCTCCAATACTGACCTCGATATCACGTGCACACACCCACTCGAGCCGCCGTGACTCCCCACTCTCTCCTTATTTGGTATGATCTCCTTAATCCCCTTTCCTGAAATATTACTCTGTACTACCCTGTCCACAGCTATGGTTCTTGGTTCTTGGTTCTCTCTCTCTCTCTCTCTCTCTCTCTCTCTCTCTCTCTCTCTCTCTCTCTCACACACACACACACACACACACACACACACACACACTCACTCACTCACTCACTCACTCACTCACTCACTCACTCACTCACTCACTCACTCACTCACTCACTCACTCACTCACTCACTCACTCACTCACTCACTCACTCACTCACTCACTCACTCACTCACTCACTCACTCACTCACTCACTCACTCACTCACTCACTCACTCACTCACTCACTCACTCACTCACTCACTCACTCACTCACTCACTCACTCACTCACTCACTCACTCACTCACTCACTCACTCACTCACTCACTCACTCACTCACTCACTCACTCACTCACTCACTCACTCACTCACTCACTCACTCACTCACTCACTCACTTTCTGGGAATCCTCACCAAGACAAGGACAAACACCAGCAAATTTGAATACATTTACTGAACAAGGCACATACACAATACATATACACGTATAATAATATAATTATCAATATTACGATGCATTGTTTTCTTATTCAAACCCCCGCTAATACGAACTCTTTGGTCGATTTCGTCAGAAATTCGATGCACGGAGACGGTTGTGACAGTCATTAATGGGGTTACGGCCATCTGCAGCAGATATAATTGCGATCAGCTGATGTCCATGTAAACAGAACATCAGCTGATTATGTAAACAGAACATCAGCTGATGTCCATGTAAACAGAACATCAGCTGATTATGTAAACAGAACATCAGCTGATGTCCATGTAAACAGAACATCAGCTGATTATGTAAACATAACATCAGCTGATGTCCATGTAAACAGAGCATCAGTTGATTATATAAACAGAACATCAGCTGATTATGTAAACATAACATCAGCTGATGGTCATGTAAACAGAACATCAGCTGACTGTAGGCAAAACATGACCACGTGTCATTGTTGTTGTTGTTGGGTGAATATGGATTTCGTTGGGTGTTGGGCCTGAGGCCTATCAAGCTCTGGAGGGTTATTGAGGCCTAGTTAACTCTTAGTGTACATACTCCGAGGAGCTGTGTACACCTGAATTCAGATTAGTGTTGGGTTTAATGCCTATATCTGCCTCTTTGACTCGTAACTCCCTGCTATTTACTGCTAAGTGAACAGATGCATTGGGTGAAAGTGTACATCCCAACTATTTCTATCTCGCCCGGGATCGTTAATTGTGAGTTTGAAGTAAAGCCCATTGCAGTGCGATGTCTGGAAGCAACGTTAAAGAAAAATCAACTTTATTAGTGTTTTGTGAAGAATTCAACTATTTAAAATCAATTGATGATAAAGAATACAATTATAAAGTTTTTATATAATATTATATTAGAGAATTAATGTACGTTAGGCATTCTACAAAGTAGGAGTTACTTTTAATTTATATAATTGATAGTGTTTGTAAAAATTTATTATTTAACTTTTTAAAGAAGAACTGATGCCTTAGATACAAACTCAGACGGTAAACCAATTTTAACCCAGACTGAACTGAATGCAAATAATTGAGAAGTTTCGGTGAATCCTGATATCTGGCTGATAGCCGTCGATGATATGATATCACGCCGGCGATAACAGAGGACTCCTGGGGTGCTATCAGCGTGCTAACACGATTAGCTGCCTTGTAAACACCACCAGTGGGCTCAACCACCTCACGAAACCGGTATATCTTTCCTTAATCAGGATAGCTTTGTTTACAATTATTAATATAATTACTATAATTGTTCATTTTATCGGGGGACAGATAGCCAGTGTATATATATATATATATATATATATATATATATATATATATATATATATATATATATATATATATATATATATACGTGTTAGGGGTAATACCGAGGTCCCCAGAAAGGATGCAATTCCATAACAATTGCCTAACGCCTTGGAAACCTATTTACTGCTAGGTGAACAGAGGCACTAGGTGATAGGAAACGCGCCCAATCATCTCTGTCCCGCCCGGGATTCGAACCCGGAATTCGCGAGTGTGAGTCGAGAGCATCGAACCCGAAGCACCAGAACGAGGTTGTTTTACAACAATAATAATAACTTTTAGGTTGTGCAGTTTCCAATCTCGTAAACTGTTTACTAAATGTAAACAAAGCCGCCATGATTGAGGAAAGATGCACAGGTTTCGTACAGGGTTGGTGAATCCTAAATCCAAGCCTAACCTTAGCCCAATAGGCTCAGGAACCTGTACACCAGTTGAGAGGCGGGACCAAAGAGCCGGAGCTCAACCCCCGCAAGCACAACTAGGTGAGTACACACACACACATGGGGGGGCCTCGCAGCTGAGTGGACAGCGCTCGGGAATCGTAGTCTTAAGGGCCCGGGTTCGATTCCCGGCCGAGGCGGAAACAAATGAGCTGTGTCTTTCACCCTGATGCCCCTGTTTAGTAGT